CGTCCGGGTGCGGGTGCGAGCGCCGCGATGGACTCGCTGGCAGCGCCCCAGGACCGCCTGGTGGAGCAGCTGCTGTCGCCGCGGACCCAGGCCCAGAGGCGACTCAAGGTGTGTGCGCGCGAAGTGGGTCAGGGTGCGTGCGCCCGCCGGGCCGGTCCCCAGGGCTCCGGGCCGGTCAGGGGCCGGTCAGGGGCCGCGGCCGCGGGTGGGCAGCGCGACCCGCGGGCGGGGGAGGCTGCGCGCCGCTGTCTATAAATAGCCCCTGCTCCGCCTCGGTGGCAGCAGCCAGCCACCCCCGCGGCTGGATCCCGGCCAGATGGGGCCTCCCACCCCCTGGTACACTCAGGAGGGGTGAGTATTGAGGTCAGGGGCTTCTCCCGGCTGGGGGGCCTTGGGTATGTCTCAGGGGGTCGTGGTCCTGGCGCCCTCGTCGTTCCCCCCCCCCCCCCCCCCCCCCCCCCCGCTGAGGGAGGACACAGCCTGTGCCTGCGGCAGCCAGACATCCTGAACTCTACACACCTTGTCAGGTCCCTGCAAAGCCCCTTGCTGAGGCTGGGGCAAGGAGGCCTGCCACCTCCCTCACCAGCCTTTCCAGCACCAGGCCTTTGCCCACAGGCCCTCATCCCCTTTCTGCCATTGAAACTCCCCCCAACCCCCAGGGGACTCTACCCTCTGCCGCCTCCATGTCTGAGCCAGGTAGGGAGGGAACAGGGCATCAGACTGCCCCAGGAACCCCAGCATGCCCCTGACTTGCCCTGCCCCGGCCCCCAGGATATCGACAAGCAGTACGTGGGCTTCGCCACACTGCCCAATCAGGTGCACCGGAAATCTGTGAAGAAGGGCTTCGATTTCACGCTCATGGTGGCCGGTGAGTGGGCTGGACTCCCAGGTGGGGTGGCTTGGAATGTTAGCTAGCTAGGCTCTGTCATAGGGACCTCAGACTTAACCTGACTCTTTTCCTATACCTGCCGGCAGGTGAGTCGGGCCTGGGGAAGTCCACACTGGTCCACAGCCTCTTCCTGACCGACTTGTACAAGGACCGGAAGCTGCTCAGTGCTGAGGGTGAGTGGGCCCCATGGAGCCCTGGCATTGGTTCCCCATCCCCTGCTGTGTGACCCCTCACAGGGTTCCCTTCCAGGTCCACGCCCTGCCCCCGTCTTCCCACAGCATGGGTCTCCTGTTCAGGGTCCAGGAGGAGTGGCCCAAACGCCACCATCAGGCCATGTGGCCAGGGCCAAGACACTAGAACGAATGAGAACGTGGGTCCTGGCTGCCCAGTGGGGTTGGGGCTGAGAGTTGGAGTTACCCCAGCAAACAATGCCCCAACCCCCACAGAGCGCATCAGCCAGACCGTAGAGATCCTGAAGCACACGGTGGACATTGAAGAGAAGGGAGTCAAGCTGAAGCTCACGATTGTGGACACTCCAGGCTTCGGGGACGCTGTCAACAACTCTGAGTGGTGAGGAAAGCTCGGCTGGGGGACAGTGTCTGCCTAGGCTGACCCACCTTCCTTCTGGCCTCATGGGCCCTCCTGCCTCCCTACAGCTGGAAGCCCATCACCGACTATGTGGACCAGCAGTTTGAACAGTATTTCCGAGACGAGAGCGGCCTCAACCGCAAGAATATCCAAGACAACCGTGTGCACTGCTGCCTGTATTTCATCTCCCCTTTTGGGCATGGGTGCGTAAATGTCCTGGGAACAGGCTCAGGGGGCCGCCCGGCTCCACAGATCCCCACGGCTGTCCCGGCCACCACCTGTCCGCTGTCGGTGCACTCACAACCACAAACCCCGCCCAGCCCATCCCAGCCTCTCCCCAGGACCCTGCCACCCCCACCATGCCCCTCTCTCTACCCCTGGGTGCTCTCTGTAGGCTGCGCCCTGTGGATGTGGGTTTCATGAAGGCTCTGCACGAGAAGGTGAACATTGTACCCCTCATCGCCAAAGCTGACTGTCTTGTCCCTGGCGAGATCCGGAAGCTGAAGGAGCGGGTGAGCCTGCCATGGCAGCAGGGCCTGGGCTAGGTCTCTGGGACGGAGAACACTGGGTGTGCCGATCCTGGGTGCCAGTGCCCCTGGCCCTGGGTTCCTGGCTAGCCTCAAATCTGATCGCCTTGCCCTGCCCCAGATCCGGGAGGAGATTGACAAGTTTGGTATCCATGTGTACCAGTTTCCCGAATGTGACTCTGATGAGGATGAGGACTTTAAGCAGCAAGATCGGGAACTGAAGGTGAGCAGCCTGGTGTGGCAGAGGAGGGGACTGGAGGTCAGTTTACACGGGGCCAGGCATCCCCGTCCAGCCCAGTGGGGACAGGAGTTTTTTGTCTGGGCACTAGGGCCTCTTCACCCAGAGCTTGGGGTAGGGGGCACAGTCACCCATGTCCCCACTGGCTTGTGCAGTCTGGGCCCACGTGGTTCGTGTATCACGGAGCACTTACCGGGACCCAAAGGCATGGTGCTGACCCGGCCTCCACCCAGACCCTCCTTCTCAGTCTTCTTCCAAGGGGTCACCAGCAGAAAGGTCTGGCCTGGGGCCTGGTGGCCAGAAGCCTGCCCACGCCCTGGTTCCCAGAATTCTGAGCTCCAGAGGGTGGTTGTGGCTCTGGGTGCCCCAGGATCTAGAGTGGCAATACCAAACCCAAGACGTGGGGCAGGTGGCTCCATGACAGGAGGCGGGGGTGGGGGGGACCTTGGCTCCAGCCAAAGTCAGCGTCACTAACAGGAGGCGGCGTGGGGTCAGCTCTGGGGTGGGATGTAGGGAAGGTAGCCAGATGGAGCAGTTCCTGCAAAGGGGTGGTATCGGAAGGGGGGATATGCCTGGTTGGGCACAGCCTGGCAGAGGCCTCTGGGGTATGAGCTGTGCTAGCTCTGGCTTCAGAGAAGCCAAAAGAATTGAGCAACTCCAGGGTCTCCTCTGGGAGAGGCTGTTGATAATGTTTCTGGAAGGGCCACCCAGGTGCTGAATGCCCACGCCCCTCTTCAGCCTCCAACCCCACACTTGTGCTAACTGGGCGTGAACCCTTGTACCTGCCTGCCCTCCCCAGGAGAGCGCGCCCTTCGCAGTTATCGGCAGCAACACAGTGGTGGAGGCCAAGGGGCAGCGAGTCCGGGGGCGACTGTACCCCTGGGGGATCGTGGAGGGTGAGTTCAGGCATGGGCATGGCAAAGGGGGTGGGAAGGCTCCCTTGGGCCTGCACCCACCCACCACCCACTCCTGCCCCACAGTGGAGAACCAGGCACACTGCGACTTCGTGAAGCTGCGCAACATGCTCATCCGCACACACATGCATGATCTCAAGGACGTGACGTGCGACGTGCACTATGAGAACTACCGTGCACACTGCATCCAGCAGATGACCAGGTGCGTGGCCCTGACCCACACCTGGATCATGTGCCTCATGGCCCCAGCCACGTCTCCTTAACAGAGGGCTGGCCCCTGCTGCCCACCCAGACCTGAGCTTTGCCCCAACCCCATCCCAGAGAGGCCCCCACTGTGCATCTTGTCTTCCCAGAGCCAGCTCAGCAGTGTGGAAGCTCAGAAAGGGAGGGAGGGCCTTAGTAGTGTGGAGGGTGTCAGACAAACTCTGTCCCTCTTGTCTACCCCACAGCAAACTGACCCAGGACAGCCGCATGGAGAGCCCCATCCCCATCCTGCCACTGCCTACCCCCGATGCTGAGACAGAAAAGCTCATCAGGATGAAGGATGAGGAGGTTAGTAGGGCTGAAGGGAAGGAGCAGGGGCTGGTGGAGGTCGGGGGTTTGGGGGGTGCTGATCAGGCCTCTCCTGTCACGGTTCTCATGCCATCTTCCACTGTTCTGACCTCACCTCCAGCTAAGGCGCATGCAGGAGATGCTGCAGAAGATGAAGCAGCAAATGCAAGACCAGTGACCCCGACCCAGCCCCACATTGCCATGGATAGACTGCCAGTTTCCAGGCTGGCCCTTCCCATCCCTGGACCCCAACTGGCCTGGACTTGACCCTGGAATCATCTGGATCTCCAACAGGCCTGGGCACAACCCCAGTCCCAGAGTGACCCAGACCAGGACTGTTCCCAACTGTTCCCGACCTGACCCAGAGACACGGGGTCACAGCCCCCAGCCCACCCTAACTTATTCTCAGCATCAGTCCCTCCCCTCATTTGTATCTGCTTCCACGGGGCCAGGACAGCAGCCCCCAGGCTGGCCCCCTTTGGCCTTGGGGGAACAACAGCTAGGTTGGGCCATGACTTTTGAGATCAACCGTTGCCCTAGAAGGTCATGAACTCCAACCCCAGGCCCTACTCAGGTGGGTGGGTAAAACAAGGTGGAATAGGGGAGCAGATCCCCAGCATCCCCAGCCTATTTCCCCACCCCAGTGCTGCAAAATACACATGGGAGCCCTCATGTGCCCACTCCCTTGGGCCACCCAGCTACTGAGACCTCACTTTGTGCCGAGGTGGGCCAGGTCCTTCCTTACCTCCTCACCCCTTCACGGGGTAGTTCAGTGGGCAGGTTGGGCAACAGAAGCACTTATGATTCCTCCAGACCAAAGGAGGGCAGCCGGCTGCAGGCAAGGATTTCATGGGGCTGGTGGGGCTAGGACACCTGTGATGGCTGGTACTCCTCACCTGTGGCTGCGGCCGGGCCTGAGGGCTCCAGGAGCAGTGGGTGGTGGGCAACCTGGCAGCCCCCTAATCCCTAGACTGCCATTCCCTGCCTGTGGCTGGAGGTCCCTTCTCCCCAGCAGCACTGTTGCCCCGGGGGTTCCCTAGCCCATGTCCCCTCCCCCAGCATGATACCTTCCCCAAACCCCATTCTCCAGTTTCAGTTGTGAATGCTTCGTCCTGTCCTGGTGATAGGAGAACAATGTTGGTGAAGTCGCACTGGTGTCAGAGTGATCCCCGCGCCCCTGGGAGCTTGTGGGGGCGGAAGCCGTGGGCCTGCAGGCCCTAGTGATAGTGCTCTATCTGGGGCCACAGCCCCCATTGCCTGGGCCTCAGGGTTATTTCTGGCGGGTGGCTGCGCTGTGGTGGCTTGGCGGCCACTGGGGCCTGGCAGGGGCGGGGCGGCCTTATCGCCTGGCTCTCCAGCCAAAGCTTCGCTCCAGAGCCAGCCGGGTCACCATCCTCTCTCGCCATGGGCTCTGGTGAGTCTGGGGCCAGGCAGGGCCCCCGCTGAGGCCTTGAGCCGAGTGGGGTTGGAAGGCGCTGCGGTGGGGTGGGGAGATCTGGGTCGGACTTCGAGGGGACCTCTAGCCAGCGCGGGGTGAGGGAGGTGGAGAAGCTTGCGGGCAGGAAGGGGCTCGGGCCTCGGGGGCTGGAGCCGGGCCCGCGCTCCGGGCGCACAGGGACCCCCGCCCCCAGGGCCCCACCAGCCGCCAGGCTCACTAGGGCGCTTCCTTTCCAGGGCCGCGCGGGGCGCTGAGCCTGCTGCTCCTGCCGCTCCTGCTCCTGGCGCCGCCCGGCCGCCGGGCCGCGGGCTGCCCCGCGCCGTGTGACTGCGCGGGGACGCGCGTGGATTGCGGGCGCCGGGGGCTGACGCGGGCCACGCTGCCCGCCGCCTTCCCGCCGGACACGACCGAGCTGGTGCTGACGGGCAACAATCTGACGGCGCTGCCGCGCGGACTGCTGGACACGCTGCCCGCACTGCGCGCCGCGCACCTGGGCGCCAACCCCTGGCGCTGCGACTGCCACCTGGTGCCGCTGCGCGCCTGGCTGGCCGGCCGGCCGGAGCGCGCGCCCTACCGCGACCTGCGCTGCGCCGCGCCCCCCGCGCTGCGCGGCCGCCTGCTGCCCTACCTGGCGGAGGAGGAGCTGCGCGCCGCCTGTCCGCCCGGCGCGCTCTGCTGGGGGGCGCTGGGGGCGCAGCTGCTGCTGCTCGGCCTCGGGCTGCTGCACGCGCTGCTGCTGCTGCTGCTGCTGTGCCGGCTGCGCCGACTCCGCGCCCGCGCCGCGCACCCCTCGCCGCTGACCGCGCCGCTCGTGGGGCCCGGGAGGAGTCCCGAGGAGCGCTGAGCCCCGCGGGCGCCGCCCCCCGACGGGACCCTGGGCCGAGGGGCCCCCGCGCTAGTCGGCCCCGGGCTCGACGTCCCGGACCACGCCGCCCCCGCGGGCCCCCACTAGCGGGGCGAGCCGGTGCCCGGGCCGCGCAGGCGGGGCCAGGGGTGACCGCAGCCCGGCCCCTGCGAGGTCCCCCGCGCCAAACTCCGGTGCACAATAAACCCTTCTCCCCGTCTGACTGGTCTCTGCGCCCCGCCACCCGGAAACTGCCCTGCGCCCAAGCGGCCACGCCACACCGTTGCACACCCAGAGTAACTGCCGGCGAACACGGGGCCGGTGGGCGAGGGCACTCTCCCCACCACTCACTCTCACAGGCGTTCAAGTGGGAAGTGCAGAACTTGGACCCTGGCCACACTGTGGGGTGGGGAGGACCCCGTGGGGGATGGGGACAGTGAGGACGCCGTGAGGACAGTGAGAGGACACTGAAGACAGTGCATAGTGAGGACACTTGGGGAGTCAGGACACTGGGGAAAATGACACAGGGACACTGGACAGTGGGGACGCTGAGAGCACTGCAGGGCAGTGTAGTTGAGAGAAGGGGAGAGGATGTCTGGAGCAGCAGTCTCTGGGGGTCGTGAGGGGCCTCCAGAAGGCTCTGAGGACTGTTCAGCGTGTGAGTGGCAGGGACCAGGCCACCCTCAGTACCGTCAGGGATGGGCTGCGTGGGGAGGACGGTCCACTGGCCCTGGAGAGCTGGGCGTCTGAGGTAGAAGCTCCCTCTCTGAGGCAGGCCCTGCAGGGGTGAGTGGGTGCCAGGGGTTTGCATGGGATCTGGAATCATGTCGTGTACTTGGCTGCCACTTCCCACAGGGAGGTGCCCCTAACTGCCCAGACCAGCCCCAGCCCCTGGTCTCCCACTCCCCCCTACCCCGAGCCCAGGCTGAGCCCCAGCGCAGCACAAGCACTCACAAGGGCTCTGGGGTGCCCAGATGAGGGACCCATGCTTTCCTCACCATGGGAGCCCCGCCTCCACCCTAGTGTGCCCCCCCCCCATCTGGCTGGCCCTGTAAACAGTGAAGGCTGCTCTCTGTGGACCCCAAATGGGACCCTGACAAGAAGCCCTGGACTTGGGCCTGGGGTGCCCAGGACAGGAAGGCTCTGGTCCCCACTGACCGGGTCGGGGAGGCTGCCGTTGACACGGCCTTTGTCCTAGTCTTTGTGGGACAAGATGGATGGCCCTCCGGTTGGGCTGATGCTATCTCGGGGCTGCCGGTCAGACGTGAGGCAGGAGCCGCCCCCTCCTTTGTGGGCAGGTGTGGGGCATCCGGCCCATTGTGGGCTGTGGCCAACTGTCCAATCGTCCATCCGGCCTTATCACCACATCGGGGATGGTGGCCCCTTTTGTACAAATGAACTGCCACCCTTCCCACCCCCAGGGGTGGCCCAGCACACTCAGAGCCCTGGTAGGGGTCAGAGGGAATAGTCACTGTCACAGCAAGGTGCACAGGCGACCTCCGAACTCAGTCCCAGCATGGTACGGGGAGATGTCCAGCTGCGAGGGCAGCACACGGCCTGATAGCCAGAGCTGCAGAAGCTGCTGGAGCTTCTCTGGAGAAGGCTGGCATCACAGGTGGTCACCCCTAAAGAAGAGCTTCCTTATTCCCTTGGACTTAGGGCAGCTGAGGGCCGTGGCTTCTCCGCGAGTCTCCCTCCTTGGCCAGCTCTCTGCGACTTAGATCGGCTTCTGCCCAGGGACCGAGCGACCTCAGGCGGTGTGGCCTGGCCTCACTGGCTGACCTATTCCAGGCTGCCTGGGAGCCCCCCACCCCGACTTCTGACCCCGAGCTGACCCTGCATGCACTGACCCCAAGGCCTCCAGGGAGGGTGGGGAAGAGGATGGTCCCAGCTCAGCGCCCCTGAATGGCCCTATGCTGGGAGGGGGAAGGTGCACCCCTACCCCCAGCTCCACAGCCCACCATGCCCCTCCCCCCGGCATCGTCCTCTGTCTAATGGACAATACACCTGCCCAGGGGCCACCCCCCCACTGACAGCCTGGTCCTCCCTGTGGCTTCAGGCTCCTTCCGGACCGACTGAAACAAGGCGGTGGCCGCTCCAGGCGCTACCGACCCCCCACGTCCAGTCCCCAGGCTGCCCGGTCCAGGGCCCCGCGCCCTGCAGCCCCCGCACCGCTACCCACCCCTGAGCAGGGCACACGGTGTTCCCGGGGAGTACACAGCCCTGACCCCCCCTCCGGCCGCCTTGGTGTCCTTGTCCGTGAAACGGGTGGGCGCTGCCTGGCGCGAGAGCCTCCGCCCCAAAACCCTCGTCCAACTCTCCCCTCGCTCCCCACGACCCTGGGGGCCACCAGGGGGCGCTCGCGGTCCGCGAAACCCGCCCGCCCGGGGTGCGCGCGGCCGGGGTGGGCACTGTGTGCGCGGGAAGCGGGCGGCCCGGGGAGCGAGGGTTGGCCCGGCTGGCGGGCGCGGGTCGCCGAGACCGCGGACGGGTCGCACCCCAGCCCTCGCACGGGAGCAGGGTGGGGTGCGCCGAGCGGCCGCCGCCGGCCTGGGAAGGGTGCGCGCCCCGTCCGCATCCTCTCCTTCCTCCTCCCCCTCCCCCTTCTCCTCCCTTCCCTCTCCCCCTTTCCCCTCCCCGCCCTCCCCTCCCTCTTCTCCCTTCCCCTCCTTCCCCTCCCTCTCCTCCCTTTACTCTCTTCTCCCCTCCCGACCCTCCCGTCCCTCCCCTCCCTTCCACTCCCTCCCTTCCCTCTCCTCCCTCTCCCCCCTTCCCTCCCCTCCCTCCCCTCCCTCTCCACCCCTTACCCTCTCCCCCCTCGCCCTCCCCCCTCTCACCCCCTTACTCTCTTCTCACGTCTCCTACCTCTTCTCCCCACCCCTCCCCTCCCCTCCCCTCCCTGATCGCTGACAGCCCGTCAACAGGGAAGATAAGGGGCCTCTTCCGCGGGCGCAGGCGGTGTCAGCCCAGGTGCACCGTCCGCCCTCCGCCGCCTGCTTGCTCCGTAAACACTTATTGAGCTCCTGCTGTGTGCGCTGGCGGGGCAGGAAGGAGCGGCTGCGGGCTTCGGCGACAGGGAGGAGCGGGCTCAGCCGCTTCTGCTGCGGGTGCTGGGTGGGGACCGTGGCGCGGACGCCCGCGGGAGTGGACAGAGGCTGCGCCGCCTCCCGACCGGCCTGGGGGGATGAGGGGGAGCCTGGGGAGGGGGCGGCCCCTCACTGGGCGGAGACGTGAGTGGGGCCCGCGTGGACGAGGCCCTGGGAAGGTCTGGAGGGGCCTAGGCCTTGGCCACGTTGTGGGGGGGCGCACCCGCTGCCCAGACAGAGCAACAACATTGGGGTGGGTGGCGGGGCCCTGGGGGCCCATAGCTCACCGCACCGTCTGCGCCCACCCCCTGCGTTTCCGATGGAAGACAGGCAGCAGGCGATAAATCACCGGCCCCCACTCCCACCCACCCAGGCTGCCTTGGGCAAGGGGGGCTGCATGTGACAGCGACAGAGCCCCACACAGAGACAGAGACAACCACCGAGGGAGACAAAGGCTGCTGGGGCTGGCCAGGTGACACTGGCCGGGTCCCTTTGCTCAAGGTGTCTGGCCTCCCACCCCAGGGGCCCCTCCACCAGTGCCATCTGGAAACCAGCTGAGAGCCACCCCACCCCAGCCGACCCCCAACAGGGAGGAGGAGGGAGCAAGGCCTTAGCAGCCATAACTCTGTCCACCCTGGAGAGCCATAAATCAGCGGGGGGCTCTCGGGAAGCACTGCCTCCTAGGCTGAGGGGGGTCTTTGGGGTCACTGGGCCTGGTGACTGGGCCTAGCCTTAGCTGTTATGTCCCTCCCTCTTAAACAGCCCCTGGGGGTCCCCCAGTCCCACCTCTGTTTTTCCCCAGCACAGTCTCCTCACATGCTCAGAACCACCTACACCCAGTGCTGACTCCACTGGATGCACACTCTCGCCGTGCTCATCTTCTCTGTGCACAGACAGGAAACGTCTGCAGGGAATGATGTCCTGTCCTATCTGGAGAAGCCCTGGGCTAGCCCTGCTCAATCTGGGGGTCAGCAGTCCTCCCCAGAGAAGCCCTCCCAGGGGATCTACTCTACCCCAGAGGAAATACTGTCTGTCCTTCCTTCTGTCCTGCTTCCCTGTCACCACCACCCTGCAGGGTGCTGAAGGCCAGCTGGACAAAGTGTGCTGAGAGACCAGGTGGGGACCCCTCCACAGGTGTGAACACTCCCTCCCAGGGGAGTGCTGCCAAGACCTGCGGGGTATGCTCAGCACCCCCACTGCCCAGACCCCCAGTTCCAGCCACTGGTCTCAGCAATCCCTGCCCCCGGAGTCCATCCTTGCAGACCACCTTTCAGGGCTCACGTGGCAGAAATAACGCCAAGGGTACACAGGACTTCCACCATGAAGTCTCCCAAGGAGCAGTGGGAGCAGCGACGGGGGCTTCCTTCAGAGCTCTTGGATTTCCGAGCCTGAGAAGCCCTGGGCCTCATTATGTGGACAATCCTCTCGACCCTCAGAACAAGCCTGAGTGCCCCAGCCTTGTGACATCAAACCACTCTCCGGGGTGTGTGTGTGTGTGTGTGTGTGTGTGTGTGTGTGTGTGTGTGTGTTGGGGGGCTCCTGGGGATGTTCAGGCTGAGGGAGCAGCACTGTGCTGCCTAGAGATGCCTGTCAGGGGAGGACAGAGAGTGCAGGGCCCCAAGGTGTGCTGGGCTCAGCCTGTAGGGGGGCTCAGCCTGTAGGGGGCTCAACCTATAGGAAGGCTCAACCTGCAGGTGAGCTCAGCCTTTAGGGCACTCAGCCTGTAGGGGGGCTCAGCTGTAGGGGGCTTAGCCTGCAGGGCGCTCGGCCTATAGGGCACTCAACCTGTAGGGGGTTCAGTCTGTAGGGGACTCAGCCTGTAAGGGGGCTCAGCCTGTAGGGAGGCTCAGCCTGTAAGAGGGTGCAGCCTGGGGATCCCTGGGTGGCTCAGTGGTTTAGCACCTGCCTTCGGCCCAGGGCGTGATCCTGGAGACCCGGGATTGAGTCCCACATCGGGCTCCCGGTGCATGGAGCCTGCTTCTCCCTCCACCTGTGTCTCTGCCTCTTTCTCTTTCTCTCTCTCTTTCTCATGAGTGAATAAATAAAATTTAAAAAAACAAAAAACAAAAAAAAGAGGGTGCAGCCTGTAGGGAGCTCAGTCTTAGGGCAGCAAGAGCAGAAGGGCC